ACACAACTTTTCTCCATTCACTGCGAGCTTTGAATAAAAAAAAGAAAAACTAGAGAAAGGTCTAAATCTCTTCTTTTCGCATACTGTCTCGCGGATTGACTTTTCTCATGAACTATTAAGTCATTTTTGTGTTTCTATCCAAATTTTTATGAAAAAAGCATTATTTGATGAGCTTACGTTACGAACTTCTCGGATTTTGGAGTTACAACTTTTTTTTAACTGGCAGTACGAAAGGTCGAGGTATTGAAATTTGATGAAAGTTTGTATGTTGGTACTTTCGAACACCCTGAGTTCAAAGAAGTTGAAAAAAAACTGCGCCTTTTTTGGTTATAGTCGAGTTATGGCGTCTCAAAGTTTGCACGCAAAAAGCGCATTTGATGGAAGGAAAGAATGTGTTGCGCCAGCTAACTTGAACTGCCAGCAGTCGGCGTGGTGTAGTGGCTAGCAGCCTTGTGCTGCGAAACCTATAATGCTGGTTCGCTTCAAATTATTTTTGCCAATTTTTTTGTTGGGAAAAATGAGGAAGTTATTATGGTGGATTGAAAAAAACCGCTCAAAATTTTGGGATTCATCATTTTATGTCGTTTCAAGTAAGATTTTCGACAAAAATTTAGTTCATCAAGAAGAAAAATTTCAGTAAGGTTGCAAACTGTCCTCCCTTGCAAGGATTCTGTAAAAAGCAATCAAAAAAGTCATATTTCTCAAAATAAACGATTATTCAAAAGTAATTTGTAGATAATTCCAGTAAAGGCGCTAAAATGTCCTTTTATACAGGGCTTCTTTTTCATTACGATCAAAAATGCGATTTTTGAAAGACCATATTTTCAAGAATTGAAAGGCGATATGGGTAGTGTGGCGAGGGTGGAGCGTTGCGTGTGCGGCGCGGTTTTTGGCGAGAAACTCGATTTCAAATGTAATAAATAAAAAACGTAGGAAAATTTTTTTTTATTATTGTTATTCTACTCGTTCAACTGAAGCTTTTAAAAAGTATATTTTATTGAAAACCAGTCTAAAAGGGAGAAAATAAGATGGCTATCGTTTGACCTCGAGTTTCGCGCCAAAAGCCGCGACGCATACGCAACGCGTCCCACTTTCCAATCTACCCATCTCGTCTTCTACTCTGACATGGAGCGCGAAAAGATCGATACAACTCTTTTTCTGACATACACTATTTCGTCGTTTTCTAGCTGCGAGAAGACGGTGGTACGACAAGAGTGAGTTTTCCATTTGCGGGGAGTACTGTATGCGGAAATGCGCATTGAGTGCATACACTTTGCGTGTTTACACTTTTGCTGCGTGACGTCACCATCTGCGGGTTTTTTGTTTCCGATTTTTTGTTTTGGATTTTTTTTCGCTTTTTTTTCAAGATTTGCATTTTTCTCGATGATATTTGCACGATAAAAACAGTATCAAGAAAAAAAAAATTCAAAAAAATTTAAAAAATAAAAGTCGGAAACAAAAAACCCGGAGATGTCCTACCCGGTGACGCAATGAAAGTGTAAACACGCAAAGTGTATGCACGCAATGCGCATATCCGCATACAGTACTCCCCGCAAATGGAATCCTCGCTCTTGTCGTAGCACCGAGAAAACGACGAAATATTGTATGTTAGAGAAAGAGTTGTGGCGCCCTTTTGTCGCTCCATTTCAGAGTAAGATGACTATATTTCGATCCGACTTCACGGTCATCAAAAAGTGTTTCACCAAGTTCATTCTTTCTCATAATGATGTAAATCCACGTCTCTCTCCGAATCTCCCGAATCCATCCCTTGGCAACGGAGAGAACGCCGCTATCAATCGGGCCGATTTCGTTGAAACGCCGTTCTTTTTTTTGCTGATAAAAGGGGCGGAGCCCTGCGGAAGGCCCCGCCCCCGGGGTGCCCTTTTCGGGCGGCACTCATTCGAACGGCATTCCGCGGCGCTCTGAAAACGTCCTTGCTTCCTCCGGCCCGATGGAAAAAACGCCGCGCGGACATCAACATCGCCTCAGACAATTTCACGTGTCTGAGGTAGTGTCTAGATGTTCTCTCGGACGTTTTTTCCGCCTTTTTGACCCACAAATTCGCTATTTTCGACTGCACTTTCCTGTTGGGAACTGGGTTTCGGACTTGAAATTTCTATTTTTCCACTCACATTTCTAAAAGGAAATGATGAAAATCTATGGAGTTTACGAAGATTTTATGAAAATGAAATAGGTACTTCAGTTTTTTAGATTTTCAAAATTGAATTTAAGACAAAAATGGTACTTTATCTAGTAGTTTAAAAACAAGAAAAACAAAAAAAGTTCATGATTTCCTGGTCCGTACGATCTTCTCAATAGTGCTAAAAAAATATAAACTTTGGACTTTATTAATTTTTTTAAAAAAATAGAAAAAAAGAAAGAATCTGTCATTTTATAGGTTTCGATGAACTTCAAGATGCAAAAAAATGACTTTCTTTAATCAAAGAATATTTTTTTAAATCAAATTTATGAAGTTGAAACTCGAAAAGTCCATGAAAATTTGATGAAAAATTTGGAAACTTGGATTCAAAAATCCGACTCTGATCATTTTTCTCATCGGATAAGTTAATAGGAAGATAAAACTGAATTGAAAACTTGAATTTCAAGACGCATTGTTCTATTTGAAAAAAAAAATAAAAAAAACCCAGGGAGGTCGTTCGACTTTGCGGTCGGGAATTTCCTGAAAATTAGTCAGAACACTTCTTGATGTACCAGAGGATGATTTTGAAAGTCTTAGCCTTCAAAAATTTCTAGTTTTCGAGAAATAAGGGCCTAAAGTCTCAAGGTAGCCTATTTTAATGGGTTTTGTGAGTTTTTTTCGACTTTGAGGCGTCTTTTTTCAATAATGAGGGAGTTTTGCAATATGAGACTTCTTAAATCTTTTTCTGGTACATCAGGGAGTCTTCTAGTCAATTTTCAGAGCCATATAAATATGAAAAGTCGTAAAATTATTTAGCCATTTAAAAAAACCTTTTTTTTAAACGAAACGTCGGATTTTTATCATCATCATCCCAGACGAAAATAACACGTTCCAAGAAGGTCTCAGTGCCCTTCGAGACAGCTAATAATCCTTTGAAACCGACAATTTCGGCGGAAAAAGGGCTTTTCAACCTGCCGGATAAAGTTTCAAAGGCGCTTATTTCAGCTGTCAAGAGTCGGGGGATATTTTGGGGATTTTTACTAATGTGCACTTGGATTTAAACAAAGGCTTTTCTCAAGGTCTAGCAACAGAGATCAAGAGAAAAAAAAAACGGAATTAGAATGTCGAGTCGACCTTTTTCCAACATTATAGTCTGTGTGCCACGACTTGAAATTTCACGGAACGACATTCCGCTGTTCCGCTGCGTGCGGTCGCGAAGCGTCTTCCGAATATAGGTCACGATTTCAATTAATTGGTATTGCTGTAGAAGCACATGAAAGTAGAGTACCTAAATATAAGAAAAAAAAAATTAAAAGCGCGACCGAGGTTCGCAAAGGCGCGCAGCGGAACAGCGGAATGTCGTTTAGTGAAATTCCTAGTCGCGGTACACAGACTATATCAGGGATTCAGTTGAACTTTATAAAAAAACGAGATAGTTAATGAAACTTTATCAGAAAAGAAGAAAAGTTGGAAAAATTGGCGGAATTTCCCGCCAAAAAGCCGCGTCGCACACGCAACGCGTCACCTTTGCAATCTGCCCACCTCGCATTTCAAATCAGGAACAAATGACTAAAACTTCAAATTAAAAAAAATACTTATCCATCTGCGAAACATATACGTGTGGCATTACAAAAAAGATAAAAAAGTGTAATTATTGGTCTAAGATTTTTCAAGCCCGCTTTTATTTATAATTTATGAACTTTTTTTGAAATTTAGCCGAAGACCTTTCGTTCATGTTAACTACACGTCATAAATTTACCAGTTTTTAATTTTACTATTTATTATTAACTTAACAAGCTTTGATTTTTCAAAGATTCGGACGTTAAGTCAATTTTTAGTGGATGATCCAAAAAAGCCAAGGAAGCACTAAGAATAACTGACGAGATAAATGCGAGCTCGGTGGCGGTACATTGACTAACTCGCAAAAATGTCGCTTTTTTCTAGGCGCGATCCCGCATTTATCTCGGCGCGACCTCGCATTTTTCTTGGCGCCATCTCGCATTTATCTCGCATTTCGGAAATTTTCAAATTGCGAGAGAAATGCGAGCTCGCGCCTAGAAAAATGCGAGCTCGCGCCCAAACAAATGCGAAACCGGCGCGAGAAAAAATGCGAGATGTTTGCGAGCTCGTCAATGTACCGCCAGTGTCTCGCGTTTATCTCGGCAGTTATTCTTAGTGAGGATCAATTTCCCTCCTACTACTTAATTTTTCAAATTCTCATCCGAGTTGACCCCAGAAAAAAATCGAGAAAAATCTTAATTTTCTAAAAATTTTTTTGAATTTTTTTATATCTTTAATGCCAAGGAGATAGTCGTTGCCGGCGCGGTCATTAATTAATTGATAAAAAAATCATTTTTTTCAACATATCATTTATTTTGACTGAAACTGTGATCATAGGTATGAACAGAAATTTTATAGTTTGATCAGAAAAAAATCCCAAAAAAATGTTCTGAAAGTTTTAAAAAAATTTAAAAAGACGGAGGCAGAATAGTCAAGCTCCTCTAAAGATAAATAATGGTATAGTTAAGAATTCGCTGTTAATTTTTCAAAGATTATTTTTGAAATCTCTAAATACGACTGAAAAGTTGGGTATTTTAAAAAATTTGGGACAAGAACTATGTATGAACAAAATTCTGATGCTATTGGTCTGAAAAAAAAATCTATTTTTTTACGACCTCAAAAAGTGCAAAAAGTTGTGCTCAAGAAATCTTCGAATGAACGAGATTTCGATGATTTGTTTTAAAAGACCTGAAAAGGAAGTTGAGCTATCTCTTTTCAAACCATTCAGAACTCAGAAAGTGCAAAATTTCCATATTTCTCAAGGTGTTTCGGTATTTCCTGTGTTCAATTGCAGAGACGGATGTTGGAGGAGAAGCAGCGACAGAAACGACAGCAGTCGGCGGGCGTCCGCGCCCACTCGGTCCTCTCTTCCTTCAACAGCCAGAAGAACATCGTACCGTACGTTCTCCCCTTCGGAAATGAATCCCGTCATAAAGAGCGCCTTCCTTCGTTTTTTTGGCCTCTTTCTTCCCGTCGACGAACGTGCGAATCGGCCGATCTAAATCGAGACGGGAAGAGTGCGGGCAAAACATAAAAAAAGACCCTTTTCGATGATATTGAGAGATTCGGAAAGTTCTTGGAAAATTCTCGAAAAATAAATACATTTTGAACCAGAGCAAGCTTGAAAAGTCTATTTCTTTAATTTTTTTCAAATTTTGAAAAGTTTTCTTTCAGGGCTTCCTTTGACGCCTCGCTCACCATCCCTCACGGGGATGGTGAGCGAGGCGTCAAAGGCCTCACCACATTAGGAATGCCGTGAAGTCTCAAAAAAAAGGTTAAAAAGGAAATTCCTTTTCAAATGTTCCTACCTAAATAAAAACGGACACTCATTCAGGTACACCCCAGAAACGTCGGTGAGTTACGACACCACTTTGACCTCCCTCGACGTCGAGTCGGAAGCCGTCACCCCTACAGTGGTCACTGTACAGGCCCCAGTTCAGGCCAAGACTCCCCCGAAGAAAAAGGAGATACCGTAAGATTTTCGAATTTTCGAGAAACACGAAAAGTCGTGGTCGCATTTGAAATGGCTCACAAGAAAAAGTCATTTTTGAAAGTTTTTTTTTTGAATTTTTTCGAATATTGGTCAGGATTTTTTTTGAGAAGAGTGAAAGACAGACAGAGGACCTGAAAATTTCATATTTCAAAAAAAAAAATCGTTGAAGAAGATCAGAAAATGGCCGTTTTTCAATGATTTTTGAGAATTTTTTTTCTGACTTCAAGATTTTTGGAAGTTAGGGTTTTCTTGAAATTTGTCTGACAAGGTATATTCTGAAATTCGCCAATTTCCCGAAAATTTTGAAGCAAAAGCTAGAATGACCTTCCCTGTGAGAGAATTGACCTAGGGATGTTGCAAAATATCTTCGCGCGCAAGTAGTTTTGGGTCGGACGCGTCTTCTTCAATATTTCTCGAATTTCAAGCTTTCTCTTACAGCGAAAGCAGCTCGGCAAACGACATCAGTGAAAAACTGCAGAAAGCGGATCTCAGCCAGTGTGTGGCTAGTGATGAAGAGGAAGGAGGTATAAAAAGTCAAGTTTTAAAGGAAGTTCATTTTGAAGCGGTCGACCCGTGGAAGGAAGACATCGAGGAGCACACTTTGCCTTGCGAAGCGCAGCCGGACATTCACGAAGCCAACACCAACCTCATCAAGTTCGTTATGGACTCAATTTTCGGTTCCTGAAGCAAAAAAAAGCGAATCTTTGCTTTAAGTGAACACTTAAATGTCTCGGAAAAGGTTTCCTTTTGTTTTGGCGCGATTAGAAGATTTACAGTAGTTAACAAAAAAATACAAATTTTAGAAAAAAGCAAAGAATTTTAAGATTTTAGGGAAAAATGCTCCAAGTGGTCACTTGAATGTATTTGAAAAAAGCTTTTCCTAACTTTTAAAATTCGATTTTCGACTTCAGAAGCTTCAAAGTAGTTATCAAAAATAGCGATTCGAAAATTAAGTAAAAAGAAACTAGAACTTTTAAGGAATAATACATTAAGTGGTCACTTGAGGGAATTTGAAAAAGATTTTTCCTAACTTTTTAAAATTTCTTTTTGCGGACTTTAGAAGCTTCCCAGAAGTTATCGCAAACAGTAATTTTGAAAATGAAAAAAAAACAAACTTGAACTTTCAAGGAAAAATGCATAAAGTGTCCACTTGAATGAGCTTGGAAAAATTTTGCTCTAAAGATTTTAAATTAATTTTTGGGCCTCTATAAGATTCACAGAATTGTACAAAAAATCATGGAAATTTGGAAGAAAGATAACGGAATTTTGATCACTTAAGGGGTTTGAGATGTTTTGATACAGTTTTCAATACTTAAGGGGTCACTAGATCAGCTACGAAAGTTTATCGCTTAAGTAGACCTTTTTCTCGTTAAATGAAACGAAAATTTTTGAAGTTATATATAACTTCCCATTTTCAAATTTTTTCAAAAGTATTTTCGAAGGAGACAAAATGATTCTGTCTTTTCCCAGTAAATAGAAGCTTATTCTTTTCTCTAACTTTTAAATTTACCCTTAAGCTTCAGTTTGCGAGCCTGGAGGAAGCCAAAAAAAGCTTTTCTTTTTCTCTTTTTTGAAAATCAGATCTATTTATCATTATTTATTACAGTGTACATATGTGCATCGAAATAGTTGAATAGACGAGAAATAGTTATCCGCAACATCCGCAACCGCCCATCGGAGCCGGAGAAACTCCGCAGCCACAACAGCCGTAGTACCGTTTGGCTCGGAGAATGACGTCACTCGATGAGTCACCTTCTTCTTGGCCTTCTTTGACCTCTTCTGGACTCCCGACGACGTCTTCCGGCTTCTTCTGGTTTATATCGACGTCTTGTGAATCTCCAACGACGACGACGTCTTCCGGCTTCTTCTGGTCCGTGTGAACTTCTTCTGGAGCTTCTGGTACCTGCTCCAGCTGCTTCTCGACGTCGTCAGCCAGGACGAAGGCCACCAGAAGGATGAGGATCAGTCCACGGATCATTGTTTTGGATTCTGAGCCAATAAATCGTGTTTAAATACACCTTTTATCCCTTAAATATTCAGTGTTTTGATGTTTGTTTTCTTTGTTTGCTCGCTGACGTACTGTTGATGTAGAAAAAATTTCTGGCATCGTTTTTTTTCTAAATTTTTGAGTTATGGTAATTTCAAGTCTGGGAAGAACAATTTTTTTCGATTTTTTTAGGGAAAAAAATTTTTGAGGTTCAAGCTTTGCAAAGTGAAAAATCAGGGCTTCAAAATTTCAAATATTTGCAGATTTGTGGAAGATCCAGCCCGGCAGAACACGATCTACAAATGCTCGATAACTCGGGACAAAAAAGGGATGGACAAGGGAATGTACCCGACCTACTACCTCCATCTGGAGTACATGGAAAGGGACGACAAAAAGAGGGTCAGTTTGTCGTTTCTCGAATTTTTATATTTAAGGTTTTTATTTAAAAAACATAAAAAGTCTCTTTTAGTTAATTATCTGAAATCAAATAGCTACTCGGGCAAAGTTGGAATGGTGGATAATGGCTGGTAAAAGGGAGAGGCTCAAAAAAGGCCGCAGAAAGGCAGCGAAAAGGCACCAAAAAGAGTCCCTTTATCGAGTCTTCCATTTTTCTGGGGTTTTAAAGGCTCGAGAAATAGTGAAAAAAGGAAGAGGCAGCAAAAATGGTGCAAAAGGGCTGAGAAAATGGAGCAAAAAGGCAGCAAAAAGGGAGCCTTCATCACCCTAAAAGGAACATTTCTATGGAGCCTTTATAACCCTCAGAGGGTCCTTCCGACTTTTCCTATGTACATGTTTGCCTCAAAACTTGCAGATTTTCCTTCTGGCGGCTAGGAAAAGAAAGAAGAGCGCGACGGCCAACTACTTGATCTCAACGGATCCGACGAATTTGGCTCGCGAGGGTGATCATTTTATCGCCAAAGTTCGGTAAGTCGAATTTATACTCTTCGTTTGGACTAGTATGAAAAGAATGATTGAAAATTGATGAAAAGGGAGTTTTGAACGTAAAAATGCAACTAAAATTTCGAAAATTTCAATTCCACATGGAGCGCACAAGTTAGGCAGCTTGAGCCGCTTTTTTTTCCACATATTTTGGGGGAACTGATTTTTTTAAAATCGATATGAAATTCTGTTCAAATAGTTATACTATAAGCAGAAGAATAACGAAATTTAATTTATAATATTTTTTTAAATCTTTTTTTGTGTTATTCCCCTTCATTTTCAATTTTTTTATATGGTAAATTTTTTTGACGTATTTTTTTGAAGCAATCATTTGAATAAGTCCAATAATAAATCTTCTTTTCAAATTTTGCATGAAGGTTCACAAAAGAGAGCCGAATTTATGCAAAAAAGAATACTATAGCCTTTTTCGTAATCGTTTCTACGTGATTTTCAAGTTTTTCATATGAAAAGGGCTCAAATTTGATAATAAACTAGATTTTAATTTTGAAAATGAACCTGGAACTTCGAAATTAATTTTTTAAAGCCCGCAATTTTGGTAGTTTAAGGCTTTCTTTTCCGTATATCAACATATTTGGCTCGTTTCAACTGATAGTTTTTTTTTTCTGAAATTTTTGTAAGCTTTCACTTAAGAACCCCTATAGAGGTTAGGGGAGAAGATAGTCCCTATAGGGACCACTCTGGAGCTGCCAAAACACATTTTTGATATTTTCATCAATCCCTACAGATCGAACGCCCTCGGAACTCAGTTCACTGTGTACGACCGCGGATGTAACCCCAAAAGGACGGCGGATCCCTTGACGATTCGTCAGGAACTCGCCTCCGTCATTTATGTGAGTCTGACACCGTAGGTGTGAGTAGCATGAAGCCTTATTTGTTTTCGAAAAGTTCCAAAACTCAAAGACTTCTGTTCGCCTTTAAAAGTGGGTTTGAGTCAGATTCGAGCAAAGAGCAAAAATTTTTGATATCAATAGAAAAAAAAGAAAAGAAAAGCCTTCTTTTTATCTATTTTTATACTTCGATTACCATGACCGCACGTGGAATGGCTCAATGCGTGAAAGCTTCCTGAAGGAGCTCCCGACCTGAAACTACTTGCGCCGAAAACTTCAAAATTTGAAGCCATCTGTAGACCGCAACCCTTTGAGTCATTCCAAATGTAACCACAGTTTTTTTTGTGAATAAGAAGAAATAAGAAGGATTATTAAGGGAAAGGCAGAGATTACTGTAGGAAAACTTTAAAAAAATATCTTCCAGAAAATCCTTAAGAAACCCTTTTCAAAGACGACAAATAAGCGGATAATAAACTTTCTAGGAGCTCTGCCCATCTTTCTTTTCTTGTCCTAGATATGATCATTTTCCCGTTTTTCAAAATTTTTCAAACCTTTTTTTTTGTTCCAAACGATTTCGAAAAACTCGAGAACAATTATTTCCAGGAAACCAACGTCTTGGGCTTCAAAGGACCACGGAAAATGACGATTCTGATTCCTGGACTTTACGACAACTCGGTTCCACAGAAGTCCGGCCTTACGGTAATATATCTGGCACGGGAAGTGCGAAAGGTCGAGATATTGGAATTTGATAAATTTTGCCTTTTTTGCGTACAAACTTTGAGGTCCCATAACTCGACTAGAACCAAAAAGGCGCAATTTTCTAAACTTCTTTGGATTCGGAATGTTTGAAAGTACCTATATACAAAGTTTCATCAAATTCCAATACCTCCACCTTTTGCACTTCCCGTGAGAGTAATTCTCATTTTAAAATTTCTCAGCCCAACGACGAAAAAGAGCTGTTGGTGAGGAAGAGCATTCGGCCTGTTGTGGTAATTATTCTTCGGATTACTGTATATTCCGAATTTTCGTTGCAGGACCGAGACACGCTCATCGAACGTTACCGGACGAAGAACACCTCGGATCTGGTTATCATGAACAACAAAAATCCAATCTGGAATGAAGGTTTTGATTGATTTCAAGGATTATTTTGAAAGAAAAAAAGAATTTAGATACGCAGTCCTACGTGCTGAACTTCCATGGGAGAGTCACCCAGGCCTCCGTCAAGAACTTCCAGATTGTCCATGAAGCCGATCGTCAGTTTTTACAGAGCTCGAAAAAACACTTGATTGACTGCGAAAGTTTTTAGTGACCACTATAGATGTTTGACGTTTTAGTGGGCACTAAATGGGTTGAAAATTAGTGGCCTTTTTAGGGGTTTAAGTGCTACTACTAAACCAAAAACAGTTTTAGTGGCCACTTTAGCGGTCAATGGATCATCATAACTGGTCCAATCTTTTTGTTTTTAAATTATCAGAGTTACTGGGAGGAATACTGGATGAAAAACTACTGAAATGGCCACTACATAGAGAGCTTCTAAAGTGGCCACTAAAACGGAAAATAGTGGCAATTATAGAGTTGGGTTTAGTGGCCACTTTAGTGTCCTCTCCAAGTAGTCCTTGGCAAGCCTCTATAGTGGCCACTAAAATTTTTCCCAGGACCTGTGTTTAAATTTTTTCACTAAAAAGCGCTAATTATTTGAGTTTTCCTGCTCCCCTAGAGTGGCCACTCTAGCAAGCTTTTGGGGGCCCGAAGATTTCCCTATAAGGACCACTCTGATCTTCATAAATTTCTATCAGAGAATCTTCTATACGTAGAATAATTTTTTCATTAATTTAACACCTTAAGTGACCACTAATGTCACTACTATAGGGCCCAGTAAAACCTCAAACCCTATAATGGCCACTTAAGATTTTCCCACACAACCTTTATAATTGAAAAAAATTTTTGTTTTCGATTAAAAGTCATAATTTAAACTCGAACAGCTAGACTCAATTTTGAAAAAAATCAAAAGAAGAACCATTTTCTACTTGCAGAAGAGTACATCGTGATGCAGTTTGGTCGCGTCTCCGACGAACACTTCACGATGGACTTCCGTTATCCGCTGTCGGCGCTTCAGGCCTTCGGAATCGCCATGACGAGCTTCCACGGGAAAATCGCCTGCGAATGAAATAACAGACTTTTGCTGATGAAAAATTCTATTCTTAAAAGTCCTGATCATCATATTCAATGTTTTCTTAACGTCGACGAAAAATATATAATTTCTTCTCGTCCAATTTTTTGTTCCAATATGCAATTGATCGACTATAAGGCAAGTTTGAAGTGATTTTGCGCAATTCAAATCAGAGAGGTGAATGTTTCTAAAAACCATTTTAAACTACCTTCTATTGGTCTTTTGGAAAAAACTAAAAAAAAAAAATTAATACGCCGAAATCATTTCAAACGCTGAAAAAAAAAATTCCCGTCGATTTTACTCTGAAAGCTCGCGCCCTGAGTGCTCGCTCTAGGGGAAAAATAATTTTCGATATTTTTCTGAAAAAGCTATTTTTTTGTATTCTTTTTTCAAACTGTATTTTTTCATTACTCTCGCTTGATTGATTATGTGATATCTTCCCTTGATCTCAAACGTGATCCGATCTTCCAGCCAAAGAATCTCTCGTATGTTAATTTGAGGCTTTTTCTTGTGATCTCTTGCTTTTTATATATTTTTTGTAATTTTTTCTTTTTATTGGAACTGATTTTGCTTGAATGTAGCTATGTGAAGCGGTAGTTTCGCGCTTATATATTTGTAGTTTTTTTATTTATATCATGTCAGTTTTTCGTTCAGAACTTGTTCGAACTATGTTGATGATGAACTGTGTGAAATGAATAACCATGATTTTCAATTTTTAAAGCAAAAATATTGAAACGAAGGACAGTTGTTAAAAAAAGGATCCAAATTACTGGTTTAAAATTGAAAAAAATTTTTTTCATTAAGTTTTTTTCATTTGAAAAATTTTTCAAACCTAATAGGTAAATCCAAATTAAAAAAATGAAAAAAATTCGGTCATTCTGGTATTGATAACCACAAAAAGCTCGTCAACTTTTTTTGGCTTTTTTTCTTCAATTTCGAATAGTTTTTTTCAATTTTTTTCATTTCCTTTTTTTCAACGTTAAACGCATTATTTAGAAAGAAAAAGGCTGTGACGGTTAAAAAAATCGAAAATTTTCTCCTTCGTTTTTGGTTTCAGTCTGCCTCATTTTTTTAAAGTTTCATCTTAATTTTTTTCGTTTCTTGCCTTTTTAAAATTTTAGTGATGCAAAAAGTTTTCAGAGCGTATTTCGGATCCCAAGAGCCAATAAAAGCATTTTGATTTTAATGCAATGGTGAAAGACTTTCCCAGCCGCCGAACGTCGCCAAGAAGAGGTTGACCTTTTTTGGTAACCTTTTTAAAAGAAACATTCATTCTTGATGATAAAGCTCGTCGGGTGAAGATAATGCGTTTTCCCTTTTCAAGTCGCCGGCGACGAAATGTCGACTCCCGAAATGCCGGCCCGGCGACCGTCTTTGATCTTTGAAAGTTCGGCCGGTTGACGCCGAAAAAGGACATGATGAGTCGCTTTTTTCCCCTGTCACGGTAACCATCTTCCCCATTTATTCTTCTTTTTTTCCCGATTTTTTGTCTCTGAGTTTTCTCCGTGGAGTTCTATTCTCAAGTATTACGGTTGTTAGGAATCCTGAGTTTCTGAATTTTCATTCTAATGAATTTGAAAAATTTCATTCAAAACAGCTATTTTTCAAAAAAAGTTGAATTTGTCTACCTAAAAACGCTGTAGTAGTCCCTAAAAGGTTTTAACCCCTTTTTTGAAATTTTTACATTAAAAGAAGGCTAATCTATTGATTTTTTTTCGCATTTTTCTCATAGAGTTTATCACCATTTAGAGTAACTAGAATACTCCCCTAGAGTGGCCACTTTTGGAAGCTTAATTTTTTCTAGAGATGAGCATTAAAAGGTCCTATGTCCGCGAAAAAAAAAAAACAAAAAAACCTGTTTTCGCGAATTTTCAAAATTCGAGATCATGCTTCTTTAAACAATAAGGAACTCTCAAAAAAAGCTTGAATTAGGTGGTTTTTGAAAAATTTGTAAGTCTGTTTTCAGCACGATTAACTTCAAAATAGTTTCAATTTTTTACTGTTTCAGTTTATAGATGAAAACTCTCGGAATTAATAAACGGTTGTTTCGCGCCCGCTTTCGTCTCAGTTAAGTCTCAAATACATCAACTTTCTCACTTTTGATTGTTGAGTTTAGAAATTTTTTCTCGTTCATTCAAAGTTTTTTGTCGAAAAATGGACGGAAAAGTCAGTCAGAAGCTTTCCAAGCTGACCTGGATACTTCTATTCTTTTCATAAGTCTTGAATTTAGGAGTTTGACAGATTATTTAAAAATAGAATTTTGAAACATCTTTTCTGAGGATGGAAAACATCTAAAAAAAATTGCAAGACTTGTATAGCCTGTGTGTCACGACTTGAAATTTCCCGGAACGACATTCCGCAGTTCCGCTGCGTGCGTTCGCGAAGCGTCTTTCGAGTCTAGGTCACGCTTTCAATTTAATGTTATTTTTGTGGGAGCACATGAAAATAGAAGATCTTAAGAAAAAAAAAAAAATTTAAAGCGCGACCGAGGTTCGCAAAAGCGCGCAGCAGAATGTCGTTCGGTGAAATTTCAAGTCGCGGTACACAGGCTATACAAAACTAAAAGAAACGACGTTTCATTATTAGAAGATATTTAAAGCTTCGAACCTTTCAGCCAGGTTTCTTTATTCAAAACTGAAGAAGTGAGTTGATAACTTGAAGTACTGTTTAGCTAGTTCAATGGGGTAAAGCTTGGAAAAATCTTTTTTTCTGAGAAATTGAGCGTTTTGGCGCATTCTTGTACATTCTCTACTGAAAAATTGACAAGTAATCCATATAGGGGTCAGGGGAAAAGCACCTCTATAAGGGACAGCAAGTGCCTCTTATAGGGGTGAAATTTAAGCGCTCCCTATAGGGATCTTCTGATTTTCTGTTCAGATTTGAGAGTTCAAAAGAAAATATTGATCACTTAATCCTTTGTTGATATTTTTCATTCAAAAACGCTAGATTATTGAGTTTTTCTCATGGAAAAACTTCTCAAAGAAAAATAGTTGACTAGCATGTCCCCTATAGGGGCCACTTTGCAAGCTTTAGTGGCCCTAGAAGGAAGGTAAAGTGGTCCCTGTAGAGAACCTTCAAGGGCTACTATGTTTGCCCCTGGAGGGGCTACTCTGAAGTTCCTACATGAATGTTAAAATCTTTTTATTTTGCCAAAAAATAAAGAATGAACAGAAATTTGTCGGACTTTTCGTATAAATGCTCTTCTGGGAAATCCTCCTTTTTATCATAATCTCGATTATCATCGTCGACGATGCACTCCGAGAGCTTGAAAAATCTCCAATCTGAGTCAATTAGCCGACAGAATTAACGAATTAAAGCACGTGAACCGCGTCGCAAACTGGGATTGAAGCCAAACATCTCGAGCGGCAAAGCACAAACCACAGATTTGTTGAAAAAAGACTCTCCATGTGAGGTATCACTTATATTGCCCTCCCAAGTGCACTTGACTCAAAACACAAGTCCGACAAAAACGATGACTTCTCGGAGGTAATGTTTCGGAATAGTTTATTAGTCTTCAGAAAGTTCCAAAGTTAAAAAAGTCTTTTAGTGTTTTTTTTTTCTGGGTTTTGAAACTTATTTCAGGTTTTTCAAGTTTTCAAAAAGTTGCTAGGAGCATTTTGAAGAATTTTTTTTCACATAAACATTTTTTTTAAGTCTTTAAATCACAGTTTTATGAGTAAAAGTTGAAATTATCCAAATCCCTCAAGGGACTGCTCAGTGGTAGTTTTTCAAAAATAGTTTATTAGTCTTCAAAAAAGTTCTAGGAGTTCAAAAAAAGTCATTTTCAGGGGTTTTGAAGCTTTATTTCAGGTTTTTTTCAAGTTTTCAAAAAGTTGCTAGGAGCATTTTGAAGACTTTATTCACATAAAAAGTTTTTTTAAACCATTAAATCTCAGTTTTATGAGTAAAAGTTGAAATTTTCAAACTCCTCAAGGGATTTTTTTCGGAATAATTTACTAGTTTATAAAGTAAGAGTCCTAATAGTTATTTCAAGCGCAGGTTATTTGAAGTCATCCAAAAGCAGAGAACCTACTCTGAAGACTGAATAAAACTTTCAAACTTTCAAACTTTCAAAAGCTGGTAGGATCTTTTTGAGACTTTTTTCCGGATTATATCTCGTTTTTACCAACCAAAGTCTAAATTTTCCTTACCTTAAGTGATTGCAATTTTCCGGAACAGTCCATTAGTCTCCAAAAAGTTCGACAAAAAGTTTTCACAGCTCATTCTAAGATTGTGAAACTTTTTCCGACTTTTATATCATTTTACTGCTTCAAACTGGTTTCAAAATTAATCTATATTTTCAAATGACTGTTCAGAAGCAGCACTAGTCGACATAATTATATATCCAACTGAGATTTTTCGAAAAGTTGAATATTTTGAAAATTGGATCAAATTTCCCGTCTTTTGACAACAAAAAGGTTTTCAAAAACTCAAAATATTCAATTTTTCGAAGAATCTCAGGTGGATATATTATTATGTGGAGCAGTGTGTATGGCATAAATGTTATCAGTAAACAGAAAGTTTCAGTAGGCTGGGAAAAGTTATTTCAAAGAAATCTAGTGAAGAGTTACTGTAGATATCGTGAAGATTAAGATTTTTTTAGAGAAAAACTATGGGTTCAGTTTGACACATTTTATCAATATATAATAATTTTATGGAATATAAATTTCAAGGGTAACTGTAGCTCCATGGGATTTTCCAAAGTGAACGGGGGGGGTGAGTTTGAAGTTTATTCTTTCATTTGTAAATTTTCAATGGATGCATTGTTTTCTGAATTCTCCCCAATCTTTTCCCAACGAAATTGAAAAAAATATTCAAATCCCTTACGTTTTCATTCGAAATTATTTCAATCCGTCTAGACACCACACGAATTCTTCTTACCGGATGGGGTTCACCAGACCGAATAGTTTAATGTTTATTTTTTGGTTGAAACATTTTGGACTGATTGCAGACGAACTTTTTATTTTTTTAGGTGATGCGATTTTTTTTTTGATATG